TGCATACTAGGTACTGAGCTAGGGTCTTTATGGACACTACCTCACCTCACCCTTCACTATAATAATAGACCTGCCTATTATTCACAGGTGAGGAAACTGAGGCTCAGGTAGGTTAAGTGACTTGCCCAAGGTCACAGAGCTACTAAATGGCAGAGCTGGGATTTGAACCCAGGCAGACTGTTTCAGAGTATTTAATCACCATGCTGGAAGGAGCTGGGGTGGGGAGGCGGAGCGCACCCTTTCTCAGTGTGCCTCATTTTTGTACTTCCACTTTTTAAATAATTTATAATTACTTAGTCATCATTTATAAATACTTAGTCATCCTATTCCACCCTGACCCCTGCGGGGCTGTAAGGTGCTCGTGGACAGAGACCGCACCTGTGTTGTGCTCCACTGTCTCCTCAGTGCTTCATCACAATGCCTGACACATGTGGCAACCCAGTAAGTCCCGGCTGGAAGAATAAAGTCAGCCTCTTAGAGAATTGGAGGTGGAAGGGGCTAGCTAGAGTTAGCTAGGGATTGGGCCTTCTAGACTAGTGATGGTCATAGGGCTAAACACGCATCTCACGAGATCATCCGGTTCACGCCCTTGCTTCAGTTCAGCCATCGCCCTGCCACAGCCTCTGAATCTGGTGGGAAAGGGTTCGCATGGGTCTGGTCCGTGGGAGAGATGCTTTCTCTCTTTTGGCCTCAGTTTCCCCTCTTGAGATGGTTGTTTTGGCTGATATTTTTTTAATCCTCACCCAAGGATATTTTTCTATTTATCTTCAGATAAAGTCGGAGGAAGGGAGAGAGGGAGAAAGGGAGACAGAGAGAAACATTGACGTGAAAGGGACACATCGACTGGTTACCTCCCCAGACCAGGGCCAGGGACAAACTGCAACCAAGGTACGTGCCCTTGGCCGGAATCGAACCCGAGACTCATTGGTTCGCAGGCCGACACTCTACCGCTGAGCCAAACTGGCCAGGGCGGATTGGCTGGCTTTTAAGTATCTTCCACCTAGACCAGTTTGTGGTTCAAGAAGAGGCAAAGCACTTTGGAAACAAACATCTTCTCTGTTTGAATCACCAGCTCTGGGCCCATTCTGAAAGGGCCAGCTGCAGTGGGTGCACACCCAAGCCTGGCAGGATGGCCACGAGGGGCTTTTTCACAGGCTAACCAGGACTTACAGAGTCAGCAGAGGCAGGGACTTCCAAGCCAGCCCCTGAGGGGCCACACATCCACTCTAGAGCTGCTGCTGGGGCTCACAAGAATCTCTGGACAGTTCTCTTGCACAGAGGCCTTCTAGATGGGCTTCGGAGCCCCAGGGGACACAGAGCCTCACCACAGGGCACCCACATCTCTGTTCCAGATCAAGTTCCACCCCCCATCTGGCCTCCTTCCTTCTTCACATGGCATGGCCCTAAAGATTCTCACAAAGCCACCACAAAGGACAAAGGTTTGCTGCCCGGGGAGGATTCTTAGAGCATATGCCACAAGCTCTGAGACAATTTCAAAAGAGTTTCCAGAAATGTTGACAAAACTGCAGCAAATTGGTATGAGCATATGGTTTCCCAGGGAGACCACTTGGATGGGCACTGCTCCCTTGGGTGTATAAAACCAGACTCGCCGCCCCTTCCCGCGGCTCAGAGCTGTGTGTGGAAAAGTGCACGTGCACCTTGTATTCAGTGCAGTGGTGGACCCCATCTCCGCGGGCCAGGCAGGCAGAATTGCAAAGGTAGAGGTAAGGGCCCTGCCTCCTTGGGTTCTCACCCTGATTCTGAGACTTCCTGCCTATGTGACTGGGGCACCCCAATTCAGAATGACAAAATATTAGAACAGGAAGAAACCGTGCAGTCATCTGGTCCCCACTTTTGACAGATGAGGAAACTAGAGCAGTGTGTGCGCCTTGGGGATGGAAGGGAGTGACTGCCCCAGAGTGGCCCCGATAGTAGACAGGACAGTCGGGAGCAGAGGGAGACGTTAAACTCTGACCTCCCAAATCCCAATCCAGGCGGCCCGTCTAGCACCCCCTCTCTATAGGACTCTGCCCTTGTAAAGCAAAATAAAGATTATAACCTGCCCTCCTTCTTGGTGGGTTGTGAGGATTGGTGATAATGCATGAGAAGCTTCTGGGGGTGAGGAGGATAGATAAATAAAAGCAGAAAGTGCTGAGAGCAACAAAGAGCAGCCTATTAACCCAGAGCCCAGCTCTGAGAGTAAGGGCAGGCCGGAGCTAAGTGACTGCATCACTAAGTCACATCCTTGTAACTTTAAATATTTCATGGACCCAGAAGTGTACCACGAGGAACAGCTACTGCTCCTCCGGCAGGGGCTGTGACTGTGGCGGGGACATCATGCTTGCACGCATGAGCACAGACACAAGTAAGCTGGGGGAAGGGGCTGGGACAGGCAGGCTCCAACTCTTAGTCATTCTAGGAAGGGCTCCAAGAGCAGGCATGAGGTGCTCTGCAACTCCCCAGCCCTGTGGGTGAGCAAACCCACACCTTTTTCCACCCACAGGCCCAACAGGCACTCAGTCACTCACTCATCTCTGGGCCTAAAAAGACAAAACAACATACTCACACCTTCACAGACAGACCCACGTCAGCTCACGTGGAGACCCCAGCACCGAAGGCTGCAAGCCAGTCACGCACCACCTCGGCTACCCACAAACGCTTTGCCACCCACCACAGCCTCCTCCAGAAGTCAGTACCAGGAGCTGTCTCTCCTCAGTCTCCCTGCTCTCTCCTCCTCTGCTTCCACCCCAGCACCAGCTGCTCCAGGACCCATCTTTCCACGCAGCCCCCCACCAGCCACCTCTCCAAAGCCTGAGCTCTCTGGGCCCCTCTCCTGACCAACAGCTTTCGGGGCAGAGAGTCTGGGACTCCAGGCCTTGAGAAAGCAACATGAAGAGTGGTGTGAGACTTTGAGAGGAATTTCCATGACCAGACAGAATTTGAGAGGAAGAAGGGACCATGAAAGAGGCCTAGGCAAACTGGATGACTAGGGTGGGGATGAAAGGTCTTACGAAAGCCTGGAGAGTCTCCTAACTCTGCTCTCCTTCTAGGAGATAACAAGACAAGAGAAACAACAACTATCCACTCATTGAGGGCTCCATGTGCCAGATCCCTTACTCCATATGACACTCAACCCTATCAGGTAGGGACTCTTCTGCCCACTGTACAAATGAGAAAATCAAGGCTCAGTAAGGAGAGTCTGAGTCCCCAAAGATAGGGGTGTGGGATTCTGGCTTCAAGTTCCAGGGTCCTGATGAAAGGGGGTAGGGGATAGACAAAGTCATCTCTTTAAAGCATATCCGGACCCCACTCTGTGTACGGGTGCTCAGGAGGTGAGTGGAGAAGAAGTCAGAGCAAGCACCTGGGCCTTATTGGGCCCCTGTACTCCCCACTCCATCTTTCTCTTGGCTTCTTGCCCTCACACCCCTCCCTCTGCTGTCACTCCTAAGTAGCCGTTGACCTGAAGAGGGGCTAAGGACACCAATCAGCCATTTCCTAAGCTGGCCCTGCTACATCAGAGAGAGCGAGGGAACCCTGCAAATTCAGGCTGGGTGTGGGGGTCCTGGAACCCAAATGACAGCAAAATGGGCCACTTTATAGCAAATGGAGGTCTGGCTGGCCCACTAGGTCCCCATAACCCCAGCATTGCCCTGAGAAAACTGAGCTGGGCCTGGCATGTGTAAAGTGATATGGCTGGTGGGGAGGGCAGAGGAGGTTATTTTGGGAGGTAACAGGGGAAGGGGCCATGTGAAATCTAGGCCAAAGAAGGGCTTCCCGGGAGAGGAAGCAACTGAGGGTTGAAGCTGACCCTTTGTAAGAAAGGATGACCATAGGGTCCCCAGAGAAACAGGCATTGATCTGTATGGTACTTTCTAGTTGCTCCATTTAAAGCAAAAGAAACAGATCTCTGGCCCTGGTCCCTACCAGGCCCCTGCTCAGAACTCCCTGTCCCTTCTCCTCCCCACCCCCAGTCCTTCTCCCCTTAGAATGTCCAGCCCTGCCCCCTCCCCAGTGCCCTGGCACCTCTCCTCTATCTATTCAGTGGCCCCCAGCCCCTGGCATAGTGCCCAAAGCTCCTACGAATATTTTATCTCCTTTACTGTCTAGTATTGATTGACATCTTGGTCCTACACCAAACTAGTAGGTTCTTCACGTGGTCTAACCTCCATCCCTTCAGTTACAGCAGATTATTTCATACTCTGCCAGTAATGAAATTGGAAACCCGGGCCATCCCAACAAAGGAGTTTCCCTCCCCATTCCCCAGCATCCTCTTCTTGCAGGCCTTTCACCTGCTTTCCCATTCCCATAATTTAGCAAGCAGAAACAGAAATCTATTTCACAAACATTATTGGCTTGCCACCCCCATTACTCCTTCTGTTGAGTCCCAGATGGTCCTCTCTCCCTGAGCCCTCCACCCACTGCCATCAGCACTTCGAGAAGAGGCTCCGGCCTCTGGAGACCCTCTAAGGTCTTCCGTTATCCTCCCTGCCTCCCAGGGAACACAGGTCTGGTGCCCAGACCCCACACCTCTCCTACAAGTTTCCACCTCCGCCCTAGGGTCTTCTTTTCAAGGAAAAGTCCCTCTCCATGTCTAGCCTTAATCCTTCCTGCTGCATAACTAAATCCCCTCTCCTTCTTTTTTCTATAAGACAACCCTCTTTCTCCATGAAAGGAAATGAAATCTTTCTTTCTCGTTTGCCGCCTCCTCTCTCTAAGTGCCCATCCACCTTCCCGACCCCTAAAACCTGCCCGGGTTTGGAGAAGTTCTTGGTAGCTGCTCCCCTCCCCCCTCCCTGCCCAGAACTCCAAGGACACCTGCATACCCAACTGGGCTGTCCACCACGACTGGGACCGGCCACACCCCGCTCACCCGCCCTCCGGCCCGCGGGGTGGGGACCCCCGCAGCCAGCGGCGCAGCCACCACGGGGTTAAGGCTCCGGGCTGGGGGAGGGAGGGGGCCGTGAGGGGCGGGTGCAGAGCCAATAGGCGGCCCCAGAGTCCCCGGGGCCGCGAGCTGGGAGCGCGGAGCCGGGAGCTGAGCGCGCCGGGCTGGGGCCGGGGCCGGAGAGGAGCGGAGCGGAGAGGGAGCGCACCCGCCCCAGCCCCGAGTCGGCCGCCTTCCCGCCCGCCGCAGCGCTGGCCAGCGGCCGCCGCCCAGCCATGGAGCCGGACAACAGCCCCCGGAAGATCCAGTTCACGGTCCCGCTGCTGGAGCCGCACCTTGACCCCGAGGCAGCGGAGCAGGTGCGGAGCAGGGCAGGGCGGGGCGGCAGGGGACTCGCCCGGCCAAGGACTAGGGACCCCTGGACTGTAGGATCCAAGATCCCTGCTTGGTCCTGCCTTAGCAGTGCGCCTCAAAGGGCGGATGCGCTCAGTTTGGGGGGTCTTCTATCCCCTCCCCCACCGTCGAAGCCACGTGTCCCTATCCTTGCTTCTTCGAGACGGACAGAAGGACGAGGCCCTCCACTGGAAGCTTGTCCCCACGAGTCGCTCCTTGCTTCCCCAGCCCTGGGGGAGGGGGCTGCCTGAGGACACGGCCCCTCCCGCCTTCGCCAATCTTGCGTCCTCCACCCAGTCAACCCCGCCAGAGTTTCTGAGCTCCGTGGGGGCACCGAAGGGTACCCGCAGCAGCGCGGGAGGGGTGCGGGGAGAGGGTAGGTAATGGAGGGAGCCAGGTGCTGTAGGAGTGGAAAGAAGAGGAATGGCCCTCCCAGTCCTCTCCTAACTAGGAGCGACCCTGCGGGATCCCAGAGAGTGAGAACAAGAAGGGGCTGAGGGACACTGAGAGGGCTGGGGCCTTGGGGAGAGAGGAGGTCCCAGTCTGCAGGCTGAGGCTCCCCTTTCTGCAAGTCTGGACACGTGGGTCCTTTTTCCCAACTGCTGCCTCTAGGAGCGGGGAGTGGGGGTGGCACGGAGAGAATGGCACCGGGAAGCCACAGGCAGGGTCTTTCGAGGGACTGGGATTCAAGTTGAGCGATAGGCGGGGGAGAAGTACTGCTGGTCTTGGTATAAGGGGTGGGAGTCCAGGGCTGGGCCCAGCCTCCTGGCCTGGCCTATTTTTAGTTCAGAGCAGCCTGGCAGAGGCAGCAGCAGCCTATGAGAGTGTGTGAGCAAGTATGTCTCAAGGAGAGTGAGCGTGAGTGGAGAGGGTGACCACCCGTGGTCACTACTACAGCCTGTTTGCCAAATATTTGCTCATTTCTCCATCTCCTTTGTGTTCTCTGTCTATTTGCATGGACATCCCTCTTCCTAAAGAATATCCATTCCCACAAGGTCAGTTCTCTACTTCCCCCAAGTGGTCACCAGGGCTCTGCTGGACCTCCCCACCTGAAAAAACAGTGACCCCCTCAGGATGGGCTAAGAGAGTGTTCCTTCTGTTGATCCAGCTGTTTGGTAGAATAAAATCTGGATGGGAAGGGAAAGGGAAGGTACACACCTTATATACATAACTTCAACTTCCCAAGTGTGGGTAGGGGTTAGGTACCTGCATCTCCATCCTCTCCCTGGCCCGGGGGAGCCACACCTCCAGATATGTGAGGTGAGACCTCAAAGGTCCTGAGGATGAGGAGGATGGAGAGCCAGAAGCCTGGGGAGTGTTCCCTGGGGTCAGGAGAAAGACTGTTATGCCTGCAGGCAGGGGACTGGCAAAGATAACCTCAGACCCAAGAAAAAACAGGCCCAAGAGTGTGGAATGTGGGGCTTAGGGGTGAGGTTTCAAGCAGATATTCCTTCCATTGGCACAAACAGGTATTATTACACCCACATCTGTTCAGTGTTAGAGGAGGCAGGTGTAGGTGTGTGTTGGGGGCTGGGGGGGACCAGCTGGTTCAGGGGTCTCGGGGCAGGGGAGAGGAATAAGGGAGTGCTAAGGAGCCAGAGGGAAAAAGAGAGCTGGGACTTGGGCCCACTCTTCTCTGATCTTCAGAAATCTGTCTGTCACGCCTGAAATTGTACCTGCAGTCTAACCTCAATCCTCCTGCTGTGTTACCCAAGTGTGTAGGCAAAAAGCTCAGGTTTGGCAGAAGCTCCTAACCCACGCTGACAAGGAAGGGCAAAAAATGCTCAGAAGATCTGAATTAGGGAGCACAGAGTGGTAAGGGATGAGGGGTGCCCACAACTACCAGGTCCTTGGCATGACTAGTTTGGAAATAAATCAGAGAAATCAAGGCACCAGGTGTCCTTGAGAGCTAGGATTTGGGATAAGTGCAAGAGAAAAGAGCATCTACTTGTTTCATAGTAGTTCAGGTGTCTGGGAAGTGCTTTTGGAAGTGTGACTTTGTTCCTTCACAGTTCTCAAGGACACTGGGTGCTTAGAAATCTTGTCCAAGGCAAGGAAAGTGGCTAAGGGATCTGCGCAAGATCACAGAGCCCTGCTGCCCTTTCAAAGGTTCTTTCTGTCATACTTGGAGTCTCCTCAGGCCCCCAAATTCCACTAATCCACACCCCACCCTCTCTCCCTGTCACTTTCCCAGCCAGCCCCCTCCCCTAGGCCAGGAAAGAAATCGAGAGGAGTCCCCTCCTAGGAGAACGATGACCCCACCCACAGACATGAAGCACCCAGGCCTGCCTGCTGGCACCCAGCGCATTTGCACCAGGAATAGCTAGAGACGGACTCAGCTAATGTTTGTGCAGTGCATGCATGTATGTGCATGTGCACACACTGGACTGGTGGTGCCAGGGACCTTGAAATGTCACCAGAAACAGATGCTACTGGATTCTCCTGAGAAACAATGCCCTACCTCAACATACCCCCATTCTATGCATCCCATTTCTTCTCAGACTGACACTGCCCCTCTTGCTATGGCTGATACCTATTTGGGGGCATAGAGAAGGGCAGGCATCTTCCCACCCTCATCCCCAGTGGAGATGATATAAATAATGGACACAAAGATAGGAATTTGATCATTCATTGTCCTCACCTACTCCTCTTAGCCCTGAATAATTTTAGTCCCCTTCCCAATCCCATTAGCCTTCCCTGCTGCCCTGGAGGGAGCTACAGAGACTCCCACCCCACCTTGCCCCTCACTTCCAAGCCCCTAAATCCTCCAAAGAAAGGGGAAAAACTACATGTCCCAAGAGTCCTTGGACCATCTTCAACAACAATCAACTTTATTGGCAGCATGACAAAAGAACAGCAAGAGGAAAGGAGCTCGAAGCCCAGCAATCAGCTCTTCTGTGTTAATTTCTTAGAATGGGCCCCACAGCCCAGAATAAGATTTTTTGGCTAAACTTTAGGCCCTGACCAGGGTTCTGCCTGGGATTCCTCTTCATTTGTATTTACCCTGACAAGGATGTTCACAGGACATATCTCCTGACAAATCAGAAAGGCAATGTGTCCAAGGATACGGGGAACATTAGGGAGTGAGGGGTGCAGGGGGTGCACATTCAGACCTACCTTTTCTGTGCTGATCCCTTAGGCTGGGTAGGGATGGAGGGGTGCTCTCTGCAGGTGCTGGTCCACAAAAGGTTAACGTGTGTTTGGGGGGAGTGGGCTGGGAGACTGAAGGAAGAGCCTTGTGCCTCTCAGATTATTTCTGACCATTGATCCCGGATGGACGGAAGGACAGTGGGCCAGAGATCGATGCACTGGAGCAGATTTAACTGCTGAGGTGGAGAGCTAGGGCCAGGACTGGGGGATATGAAGAGACAAAGAAAGGGTAGGGGATGCAGAAAGTGGAGGTGGTCTTTTGGGTCCCCTGTGGAGAGAGATGGGCCCAAGAAAGTCCACCCTGGGACAACAGATTCAGTGTAACATGACATTTTTTGAGGTGTGCTAACTGGCTGACCTGGACTATGTTGCTGAGTGGTGTTGGGTGGGGCTTTGATGTTTCCACATGTACTCGATCTCTTCCTTCAGATTCGGAGGCGTCGCCCCACTCCTGCCACCCTCGTGCTGACCAGTGACCAGTCATCCCCAGGTAACCCCAGAAATGAGTCGCTGAAGGGAGTGGGGGCTGCTGCAGACATCTGGGTCCAGTGGGAGAAGGTGGGTGCTAGATAGAAGGGCAGAGCTGAGAAGTCAGAGATCTCCTCAACCCTGGTGGCAGAAAAGTGGTGGCTGGATTAGCAGGAGGATTTCCTTTGCTCTGGGAAGATAGAGCAATGCTAGGAAGGGGAGGAGACCACCTGGTTTCTAAGCCCCTCGGGAAATGGGGTGGTCAACTGAGTGCTGGTTGCTTCGCAACAGCCTTCCAGGTTTCTCCAGCAACTGAGATGCTGCTGCCGCACCACCCCCCCCCAACCACCACCACCCAGAGGCAGTGACAGCTGTGAGGGGGAGAGACCGCCTCCATCAGCTATCTTCACAGCCCCCAGAGGGGAAAGGGACGGTTAGAAAAAGCTCAGGGAGCAGCTGGCATTCTGGTCACCAGTGTCCCCATCAAGGTCTGGAGAGAGAACAAGGTCTCAGGGAATGTCATGGGGAGCTTGACAGGAGAGTGGAAGAGAGGTGGTCATGCTTATAAGCTAGATGGGAATTCAGGACATCTGAGTCTCCAGCTTTCTTCCAACTAGTGAAAATGATTGTACCTTCCCAGCCCCTGCACAGGATACATTTGCTATTCTTTTTCTAATGTTCCCTCCTATCCAGGGTTCAGTTCCAGACCTGGGGTAGTATTCTCTCCTTTGCAGGGGTCAGTTCCAGACCTGGGGTGGTATTTCCTTCTATGCAGGGCTTAGTTCCAATCCTGGGGTGGGGGAAATGGATGGAAGGAGAAAGATATGGACACTTCAGAGTGAGGAAAAGAGCAAAGGAACCACAAATCCTGGAACCTCCAGGTCTGAGGCAAGCATGTAGACACAGATAAACCTGTAGGGTAAAGACAGGATTAGTTGCAGCGGTAAAGCCAGCCAGCAGAGTGGGAGGAAGCTGAAGAGAGAGGCCTGAACAGCCACCAGGGTTAACTTCCTGGGGCAGGTGTCAGGAGCACATCAGGAAGGAGGTGACTGCAGAGGCTCCTCCAGTTGAAAGTCAGCTCTGTGGGGACCCCCTGGGTTTCCCATCCTCATCGCTTTCTCTTTTCTCTGTTCCCCTCAGAGATAGATGAAGACCGGATCCCCAACCCCCTTCTCAAGGTGAGCTGGCCCGTCTCACTCAGCCCAGACCAGGGAACCCACAGACTCATTAGACGATTATTCCTCAGAACCCTCCATCTGCAGAACCTTTAACTCCCTACTCCCTGAACCCCCAAATGTGCATGAGTGAACATACACACACATCCCCCCAACATGCCCCACACAGTCTTCGTGCTCAGGATTGTGGGGCCCTAGAGAAGCAGGAATTTTCTTCTCACACTTTTGGAAGTCCACACCTACCCCCATTTGCAATCCAAAAGCATAGAAAGGTAAGGAAGCAGGTGAGAGGGCTGGCACCCACCTGTGTTCTGTCCTTCGCAGTCCACTTTGGCCATGTCTCCACGGCAACGGAAGAAGGTGACGAGGACCACACCTACAATGAAAGGTTTGGAAGATCCTTCCCATCTCTTTTATTCCTTCTTGCAATTTTATTTTTTCCCTTTTATTTTATTTTATTATTTTTCCAACACCATTTATCCCCATATACCCTCTTCCACCTCCACCCACCCCACTAACCCCGCCCCCATCTCTTTCTTCCCCTCTGTGCCTGAGATAGTGCAGTTAACCTAATGATCCCTTTGGAAGGGATCCTTGAGAAATCATTGAGTCTGTCTTTATTATGGATTGTTGCCAGACAAACTGGAGGTGGATTCCAGCTGTTTCCCAACTAACTGAGTGGCCTTGGAGAAACTTCTTAACCTACTGAGCCCCAAATACTACCTCACTGTGGCAGTTAAGTTAAAGAAAATATGTGAACTCACCCAGCATAGTGTGCAACACATAGAAGTTACTCAAATTTTTTTCAATTACAGTTGACATTCAATATTATTTTATATTGGTTTTAGGTATATAACATAGTGGTTAAACATTTACATAATTTACAAAATTATCTCCCCTCCACAATAAGTCTAGTACCCACCTGGCACCATGCATAGTTATTACAATATTACTGACTATGTTTCCTATGCTGTATTTTACATCCCCATGGCTCTTCTGTAACTACCGATTTGCACTTCTTGAACCCTCCACCTTTTTCACCAGCCCCCAAACCCCCTCCCATCTGGCAACCATCAGTTTGTTCTCTGTATCTATGAGTCTGTTTCTGCTTTGTTTGTTCATTTATTTTGTTCTTTAGATTCCACATATAAGTGAAATCATATAGTGGTTGTCTTTATCTGTTTGACTTTTTTTACTTAGCATAATATCTTTTAGGTCCATTCATGTTGTCACAAATGGTAAGATTTCATTCTTTTTTATGGCCGAGTAATGTTCCATTGTATATTTGTACCACATCTTCTTTATCTAATCATCTGATGCTGGGCACTTAAATTGCTTCTATATCTTGGCTGTTGTAAATAATGCTGCAATGAACAAAGGAGTGCATATATCTTTTCAAATTCATGTTTTGGATTTCTTCAGATAAATACCTAGAAGTGAAATCGCTGGGTCATTAGGCAGTTTCATGTTTAATTTTTTGAGAACCCTCTATACTGTTTTGCATATGGCTGCTCCAATCTACATTCCCACCAACAGTGCAAGAGGGTTCTCTTTTCTCCACATCTTCGCCAACACTCATTGTTGGTTGATTTACTGATGATAGCCATTCTGACAGGTTTGGTTTTAATTTGCATTTTTCTGACGATTAGTGACATTGAGCATTTTTTCGTGTGTCTATTGGCCATCTGTATGTCCTTTTTGGAGAAATATCTATTCAGATCCTCTGCCCATTTTTTAATTGGATTGTTTTTCATGTTTAGTTGTATGAGTTCTTTATAGATTTTGGATAGTAACCCCTTATCAGATATATCATTGGCAAATATCTTCTCCCATTCAGTAGGTTGTCTTTTTGTTTTGTTTATGGTTTCCTCCACTGTGCAAAAACTTTAGTCTGATATAGTCACATTTGTTTATTTTTTCTTTTGTTTCCATTGCCAGAGGAGATATATCAGAAAAAAATATATATTACTAAGAGCAATGTCAGAGTTTTCTGCCTATGTTTTCTTCTAGTTTTATGGTTTTGGGTCTTACATTTAAGTCTTTAATCTGTTTTAAGTTTATTCTAATGTATGATATAAGAAGATGGTCTAGTTTTATTTTTTGCATATATCTGTCCAATTTTTTCAATATCATTTATTGAATAGATTGTCTTTACCCCCCTGTTTGTTCTTGCCTCCTTTTTCATATGTTAACTGACTGTATAGACATGGATTGATTTCTGTGCTCTCTATTCTATTCCACTCGTCTATGTCTGTTTTTATACCAGTACCATGCTGTTTTGATTTCAAATAATTCTTGGCTCTAATTTGAGTCTTTTCTCCTGCCCCCAGGGGAGATCAAATATCCCAGCAAGTTAGGAGGAGCTTTTGTTCTTAAAGGCTCTTCCCTAAACCTTTCTTACCTTTTTTAAAATATGTTTTTATTGATTTTAGAGAAAGAGGAATGGAGAGGGAGGGAGAAAAAAACACCAATGTGAGAGAAATATTGATTGGTTGCCTCCCATATGCACCCCAACCAGGGATTGAACCTGAAACCTGAGCATGTGCCTGAAATTGAACCAGTGACCTTTTGATGCACAGAACAACACCCAACCAACTTAGCTACACCAGCCAGGGCACCTTTCTTATCTTTGAAAGGAATACATTTTATTGTCTAGCTTTAGTCCCTCCTAATTGCCTAGTGAATGTCCCTCCTTGTTCAGATCTCAGGGGATGGGAAAGTGAACCACACCAGCAGTATGTGATGGCTGTTTAGTGGGGCTGTTGAAGTTGAAGGTCCACAGAGGAGGCTCTGGGCAGTCATGTCCAATGTTTTCTCCCTTTCTCTGTGCCCCCAGAGCTCCAGATGATGGTTGAACATCACCTGGGGCAACAGCAACAGGGAGAGGAACCTGAGGGAGCCGCTGAGAGCACAGGGACCCAGGAGACCTGCCCACTTGGGACCACAGACACAGAAGCGGAGTCAAGGCTGGGCACCTCTGGGAAACCACAAAGTATGTTCAGACTGGGGAGGGACCAGCTCAGGAGAAAGCAAGCCTTACTGTTATGGGAGGGGCGTAGTAGTAGCCAGAAACTGTCTTCAGAATAGTGATGTATCTGCACGTATTACATGTATTTACATCTCTTCACCTTTCCTTACAGAATGACCCCAGCCCCTCCCAACTGGCTTTCAGAGCTCCCTGTTGTGGCTGCATGGGTGGGAGCCCATCCTAAGGGGAATGGCACTCATAGGCTGGAATCCCAGCTTTGCCCCCTTTCCTGCCCAGAGGCCTTAAACAACTTACTTAACCTCAGTCGATAAAACAATAATGACAGTGCCTATTTCACAGGGTTGTTTGTAAAAATTAAATGAAACGGCCCAGTAGCATACAAAGCATGCAATGAAAGGAAACACTGGGGTGCTGTCAATACATGTCCATAGTCCCTAATCCCAATTATTCCAGAAGTCAGAATTTTCCAATTTTATGAAGATGATATAAGTATGTATGTTGTATGTTACATAATACCCCCAGCTAAGCACCCAGTAATCAAACACATTAATAATTCTACAGTTAAATGAACTGTCCCACTAAATGGGATAAACAGACTATAAATAGCTTCCGATCAGTTCAGGTCAGATTTAGCCACACATTGAGATTGTACCCAAATTTGAAAACATTTTTTGGAGAGATTTTTCAATTTCTGATTGCAAATTTAAAAAAACCTTTAACATGGTGATTCTATAGTAGGAATTGTAGTTAGAGGAAAACCCTGTTGGTCTTGCCCAATTGCCCCAGCTTGGTCTTGGCTCCTCTCGGGGGTCACTGGCATCTGGGATGGGGTGAGCAAAAGCACTGCTCTCTACAAACCCTCATGAATAACCTCTCCTCCTAACCCCCATTTTCCCTCATTAGAGCCTGCAGAATCCACCCCAAAACCTCAGGAGAGGGGCAGTGAGAAACCCAGCACAGAGGAACCCTCAACCCATATACCACCACTGGATCCCCAGGGAGCCAACTCGGTAAGCCCCAGGGCTGGGCTGGGCTGGGCTGAGAGAGCAGGAGAGCAGGCCGTGTGGTTAGAGGTGAGGGCTAAGATCCGGAGTCAGGGAAAGGGGAACAAAGCACCAGCTTTAGTCACTGAAGAGCTATTCTCTATGGCAAGAGGATGGACAGATGAGAAGCTGCAGCAGGAGAGACTGAGGTTAGACTCTAAGTCAGGACTTCTGGCTCCACAGATAGGTGATAGAAATAGACCATGGGCCCTGGCCGGTTTGGCACAGCGGTTAGAGCATCGGCCTGCGGTCCGGAGAGACCCGGGTTTGGTTCCCGCTAAGGGCATGTACCTTGGTTGCAGTTTGTCCCCGGCCCTGGTTGGGTCGTGTGGGTGGCAGCCACTCGATGTGTAGCTTTCACGTCGATGTTTCTCTCTCTCTCTCTCCCTCTCACTCTATCTGAGCAAAATATCGAAAAATGTCCTCGGGTGAGGATAAAAAAAAAAAGAAAGAAAAAAGAAATAGACCATGGGTTTCCTGATCAAGGGCATTTGGATCCAAAAGGGAGAGCCTCACCTGTCCAGGCTGGGTGAGCAGTGGTCCTGCCCAGAGGAGGCATCGATGAAATAATCTCGTGAGCTTTGATTTTACAGTTCCCCTTCCCTGTGGAGACTGGACAAAGGGCAGGAACTGGTGTCAGACATCAGAAGTTAGATGCTTGACAAACGGATGGTTGAGCAGACCAGCAGGGAGGCGGACAACAGGCCCTCTTGCCTCTCACACACCCTCTCTTTCTGCCCCCTTTTCCCACAACAGGTCTGAGAGTGGAGGAGACACCCTGGATACAAGACTGCAATTGGGAGTGTGTGCACACTGGATTTGTTTATTTCTTCATTTTGGGGGGGAAAATCTCTTGTTTTTAAAAAGTGATAAATTTGGTGTTAGGTCCTTGGCATTTTCCTTTTTTTCCCAACTTGGAGAATCTTTTCTCTCTCCCCCTCCTGTCCTGCCCAACTCTACAGCCTCCACCCTCTGCCCAGCTGCCCCTGGGCAGGAGACGAGAAAGTGGTTCTTCTCCAACCCTGCCTTTACTTGCTGTGGGAAGAGAAATGGGAGTCAGATCAATGGAAGGACTAACTTCCAGGGTACCTAGAAGAAAGAATGACCCTGGTTCTCTTTTCCTTTCAAGAAAAGTTATCACCACCTGGCAGGGCTGCCCTGCAGCTGACACTTGGAGCTCTAAGGATGGTCCAACTGGGACTTTGCTGTGAGCACCATCTGCTGGGAAAAAGGGAGAACTGCAGCCTGGCAGGGGCCTGTGGAAGAGTGGGTGCTGTGTTATGTGGATGCCTCCTTGCCTGCCCTTCAAGCTTCAGTGGTTCTCAAACTTCAGGATGTGTTCCCCTCCTCCACCTGTGAGAAGACCACCACCCCTATTCCAACCCATTAGCAGAGATGTTTTGAGAATACAGTGGCTACTAATTAAGAGGCCCTTGCTGGGAAGTTAGAAGGTCACCTCTCCCCCTTGTCTTACACACCAAGGGACCAGGGTCAAAGACCAAATCTGAGCATAGGTGAAGAGACTTCTTCAGACCCCACAGCCAGGCCTCTCCTGCCCACTGCTTTTGATTTTTCCAGGTAGTGGAGGGGAGAGGGAAGAAAGGAAGGCAAGATTTGCCCCCTCTTTACTTAAGAAGCAGTTTAATGGAGAGAAAAAGAACTCAGAAGTGTAAGGTCCCCCCAGGCAAGACCTCACATCTCTGGGCCTCAGCCTGCCCACTATACATATAGCAGGGAAAACACCAACTGCACCAGGATTTTATCAAGCTTAAAAGAGACAGTATACATGAAGACATGCGGTGGATTCCACCCAGTGAACACCAAACACAGCCATGCCTGGTCTTCCTTGTTTATTGATCTCTGACTATAGCAGGGTTCCAGGAGACCAAGGGCAGGGGTGAGTCACATGCGTCTCTGTCCCACTTGGGGTGGGGAGGGAGGGACAGGTGGCAAGGTGGCAGGTCTAAGAGACCATGGATACAGACTTCACACAAACAGGGCCCACTGTACAAATGCATGGTTGGTATTTACAACAAAGGAGGAGGGCAGTCACCTGGACTTGGGCCTTTCCTGGGACAAGGTGGGGCAAGAGGAGCCTGAGGAGAGGAAGGGTCAGGGGGCCTGGTGGGCTCTCTTCAGAGGACATGACAGCCCTGAGCCCCTCCCCATCTGCCTTCCACCCACCACTCCCCACTTGTCACAGAGGAGGGGCCTCTTGGTGCCTGCAGCTGGGCCAGTGCTGGAAGGGGTTGAGAGGGGAGGAATCCTCTGTTGGTAACACAGTATTACTGGATTACACCTCACCCCCACCATGCACCCTTGACCCTGACCCAGCTGGTCTCTCCTGCCTGTGCTCATAAGATGCATCCTGAAGGTGCTTTGCTGGGGAAACTCAAAGCACTTTACAGACATTGGTCGGATGGGAGCCTCCCAGCCCCAGGGGAGAGGAAGGAGGCAAAGGGCTCAGGCATCAGCCAGGGAAGATGACTGGCCTAGACCAGTCCCAAGCTCTTGAGGACCTCAAAAAAGACCTCCTCTCAGCCCTTGGTCCTCTTCTCCAGTTGCCATTACAGAATGGGAGAGAAGGAAGACTGCAAGGGGTCAAGCTGGGATGGGGCTGAAGCAGTGCAGGTCTGGGGTAAAGAGGCTGCCCCCCCCCATTCCCAAGCCCTAGAAAGATACCATGCCCTGAAGGAGCTCACTCCCCTCCCCACACAGGGCTCTGAAAACCCCCAGCTTTCTATCCCATTTCAGCCCCTCCCAGGGGAGGAAAAGGGGAACCCAGACCTTCCAGCTAAGATCTGGGTTGGGGGGCTGAGGGAACCCCCAAAATGTATTGCTTAGAAACTTGGAGGCAAAAAGGATGGGGGAGGGCCCAAGGGGCTGGCATCTCTGACCCTCCCCCAGGCCCTGGAAGCCTGTAGGAAGCTCCCCTTTCTCAGACAGCCACCTGGCCACGGCGGGAGTCCAGAGGCAGGGGGATGGGCACAGTGACCATTGGGAACCTGAAGTTCCCAATTTCTGCTGCCGAAAGATTAAAATGTGGCCCAACGGGTGTCGGGTGGGGAGGGGCCCTTCCCCAAACCCCACAATCTCTGGCATTTGCCCTTCGGTGGGTTGTCTGTTTCTCGACCTCCCTGCTCCCTTGGAGCAGATGGGGGAGCCAGTCCCGATGGATGGTGCTGATGATATTGAACACTTGGGACTCATTGAGGACCTGGGGAAAGAGGGAGAAGTCTCAGTGCTCAGATCTTTGCCTTTATCTCCAGCCTGACTTACCTTCTCCAAGTCCCGCCCAGATCCCCACTCAGTCCCACATATAGTTGTGCAAAAATACCCTGCAGAAGGGTGCCAAGCCAAGGTGTGAGCAGGAGCTGTAATCAAAGTCATGCCAACTGAACTCACAGAGCCTTGTGCCCTGGCTAATTCCTTCACCCGAACCCTCACGAAGGTGCTACCCAGGATGGCTATAGCCTTGCTCAGGCCCCATCCTGCTCTGAAGAGCTACCTGCTTTCCACCTGCAGGGACTGGAACAGAAGAGCTGGAAGGATTCCCCTGCTTCCCTCTCATGCCCTGACTCAGTGCTATGTGTTCACTTCCTCCACTGTCCTGCCTGGAAGGAAGGAGGGAGAACCTCACATCCACTGAACCCCAGAGATGATTTCAAATGCCATGTTGGACACCCAGCTCTCCCTTACTCCCCACCCAACATCAAGAGCCTCCCCACTCCATCATGACGGGCTCACCTGGGCCAGTCCCAGGCTAGTCCAGATTCCCATTCTGGTTGTGTTCATCTTCGGCAGGGGAGGGTGGGGCCTCCTCCTCACAGGGGGACAGCTCATCAATGGACATCTGGTTGGTAAGGCCTGTAGGGGGTCATGAAGGAAGCTGAGACCAGACCGAGAAGTTTTCCCCAGAAACCATGGAGTATGTGGAGAAAAGTAGGGGATTCTCATGCATCCTCCTGCCTTTAAGCTGAGCTACAGTCCACTCCTGCCCACTTGGGGAGAGCCTCTCAGCCTCACTAATCACAAACCTCAACTCCCACACAAAGAAAGAGATTTCCTAGCCAGGGCCACCAAGTGACCCAGATCTACAGGAGCACCATTCACAGACCACAGTGTGCATAGGGCCCATTGGGTTGTAGAATATGACTGTGCCTGTCCTCTCTCCAGTCCTCATTCTAGAACAGTTCAACCCATCAGCTGGCTAGTCTTTCCTGTGATCTAACTTTAGTCTGACCAGCTCCATTCCCAACTCTAAGAGTCAAGGGGCTGCTCCAGGTACTTAAGGGTAATGGACCTGTTACTACTCCATTATCCATCCTCCTCCCAAAGCTTCATCCTCCACAATGGTACCCACCACTTGCTGCCTGTTCCTTCCATTTCTGCTTGTTCTCCTGAATGTATTTGGTCCAGGTGGAACGGAAGCTGATCACATCAGGGTTGGGGTCTCCGACTTCCACATCCAGAGAAGGCTGGCGCCACTGGAAGCTAGAAGCAGGGCCCCCCACAACTTCAGAGATGAGACCCAGCCCACTCTAGAACCACCTTCACAGCCCTCAGAGTGGAGGAAATGGAAGACCAGGAGGAGGTTTAGAGAGACTCTTCTCTTTTTCCCTCTGCTAGGTACCCTCCAAGTCCCTCCTCCTGGATTTTACCCCTCCCTCTCCATGTCGCCCCTCTTACTAGAAGGAAAATAAAAATAAGATTAGCAGAAAGGCAATAAAGACAGAGCTAGTGGAAGAGACAAAAATATGGTGATGGGAAGCACAGGTGCAGGCACATGCTTCTGGGCCCATGTCCCATCCTTCCACCCTGCGTGTGACACACAGCAGAGGGGCTCCCTGTTTGGCATAGCCTGCTTCTCCACTGCCCCCACCATGGCTGTACCTCCTCCCTGTGAGTTGGCCTTCTCTGTGAATCCAGCTTCCCCTCCCCAGAACGAGGAGACCTGGCTACCCCAGTCATCCTCACCTGGGCTGGCTTTTAGACTTGGAGTCTTCATCCGCCAGGGGCTGGACGCTCTTCTCAGCCACATCAGTCAGCACAGAGAATGTGGGCTCCACAATGAAGTCGATGAAACCTGTAGTGAAGAGGGTAACACCATAAAGATGTCTCACCTGAGGGCTGGGTAGTGGATATGGCTGGTATGGCTGTGACCCTTCTCTGTGTGTAAAACAGAGTAACCTGTGGCTGAAAATTTCCCAATGTGGGGAGCAGCCTATGGAATGATGTCTTTGTGAATGATGTCCTCCTCATCATTGCAACCCCTGGCCTTCTACCCCAGGGCCTCCTGCTCTAACCCAGCAGGCTTGCCTTTACAGAAAGAATGGTTTTGAGGGCTGGGGCCTTGGAGCAGTCCTGGCCCAGGCCCGGACAGCATTCTCTCCCCTTCCAACCCTCTCCTCCCTTCGGGAAAGGATCCTCACCAATCTGGGACTGTGCCACAAGAGTGGAAGTGCGATCACACAGCGGAGAAAAGGGCAGACCCAGCTCTGCTTCCTTGTCACCCTGGGGAAGAAGACAGGTGGAAAAGCTGGAGAGGATATCTCACCACCAGATCCAGGGTGAAGCTGGGGTGGTAGGAGGTTGTTGTGGGAGAAAAGGAATTTCTGTGCCTATGACCTGGAAATGAGTGATATGCAAATGGGATGTACCTGTCATCAACCATTGTTCAGCTTTTAGGATGATGACATTTTATCCCACGGGTTTAGGGTCAGGTCAGAAGCTGCAGGTAGCTGAATGGAGATCTGGAGTAGGAGTATGGAAAACTTGGAAAACCAAGGGAAAGAAGGCCCATGGGCAGCAGGTGGGCGAAAATGTCATGCTACCTGGCGAAAGAATTCCTCCATGAGAGCCTTGGTCCAGCGGCTGTGAACTGACCA